AAATGATCCATTGTTGAAAGTGAAGTCTCCTGATACTGTATTATTGTCTTTTTCTCTCTTCCCAATTAATACTTGCTTTATGTATTTAGGTGCTCCCATTTTGGTTCATACTTACAACTATTATATCCTTTTGATTAATTGACGTTTTTTAATGACCTTCTTTGTCTCATTACATTTTTTGACTTAGTTTATTTTGTATAAGTATAGCTACTCTTGCTTTCTTTTGGTTTTCGTTTGTATAGAATATCTTTTTCATCCCTCCACTTTCAATCTATGTGTGTCCTTTAAACTAGGTGAGAGTCTTTTAGTCAACATGTAGTTTGGTTTTGATTTTATCCATTCAGCCACTCTGTCTTTAGACATAGACAGAATTTAAGTTTAATCAATCTAAAGTTATTTGTAAATTTCTTTTTAAATGAAGTATAGATGACTTACAATATTATGTTAGTTTCAAGTGTACAGCATTGTGATTCAGTATTTTCGCAGATTAGACTCCATCACAGGCTTTTACAAGATAATGGCTGTAATTCCCTGTGCTACACAGTATATCCTTGTTGCTTATCTATTTTATACATAGTGGTTTGTATCTGTTAATCCCATACCCCTAATCCTGTACCTCCCCCCTTTTCTATCCCCTTTGGTAACCACAGTTTGTTTTCTGTATCTGTTAGTCTGTGTGTTGCATATACATTCATTTGTATTATTTTGTAGATTCCACTTATAAGTGATTTGCAGTATTTGTCATTCTCATTTCACTAATCATGGTATTCTCTAGGTCCATCCCTGTTGCTGCAAATGGCAGCATTTCATTATTTTTATGGCTGATATTCCATTGTGTATGAATAAAACCCATCTTGTTAATCTAATCATCTGTTGATGGGCACTTGGGTTGCTTCCATATCTTGGCTATTATTATAAATAATGCTGAGATGAACAATGGGCTGTATGTAACTTTTTGACTTGGTGATTTTTTTTCCCCAGTATATATCCAAGAGTGAAATTGCTAAATTGTGTGGTAGTTCTTTTTTAGTTTTTTGAGGAATCCCCATACCGTTTTCCAGAGTAGCTGCACCAATGTACATTCCCACCAACAGTGTACAAGGGTTACCTTTTCTCTACATCCTCTCCACCATTTGTTATTTGTAGACTTTTTGATGATAGCCGTTCTGACCTTTGTGAGATGAGAGCTTATTGTTGTTTTGATTTGCATTTCCGATGATTAGCAGTGTTGAGCATCTTCTCATGTGCCTGGTAGCCATATGTATGTCTTTTCAGAAAAATGTCTGATCAGGTCACTGCCCTTTTTTTTTTTTTTTTTTTTGATTGGGTTGTTTTGATATTGAGTTGTATGAGCTGTTTGTTTATTTTGAATATTAAACTCTTGTCAGTCGCATCGCTCACAAATAGTTCCTCCCATTCAGTAGGCTGTCTGTTCATTTTGTCTATGGTTTTCTTTACTGTGCGAAAGCTTTTAGGTTTAATTAGACCCCATTTGTTTATTTTTGCTTTTATTTTTTGCCTTAGGAGACTGATCCAAGAAAATAGTGCTGATTTATGTCAGGGTATTTTTGTCTATGTTCTCTTTTAGGAGTTTTATGGTTTCCATTCTTATGTGTAGGTCTCTGATCCATTTTGAGTTTATTTTTGTTTGTGAGAATGTTCTAATCTCATTGTTTCATATGTGGCTGTCCACTTTTCCTAGTACAACTTACTGAAGAGACTGTCTTTTCTCCATTGTATATTCCTGCCCCCTTGATGTAGATTAGTTGATTGTAGGTGTGGGTTAAAGTAATGTAGTTGTGGACTTATTATTGCTATTTTGTTCACTGTTTTCTGGTTAAATTCTTTTCTCTCTTAAATATCTACTCTAGGCTTTTCCTTTGTAGATACTATGGGGCTTATGTAAAACTTCTTATATATATAATAGTCTGTGTTAAGCTGATTAACTTCAAATGCATACAGCTCTCTCAAACCTCCACATTGCTTTGATCTCACAATTTGCATCTTTTTACATTGCATATTCATTTACAAATGATTGTATAATTATTTTTTTTACTTTTGTCTTTTGACCTTCATACTAGAATTATTAATTTATCAGCATTATTAGAGTTTTCTGAATTTAAGTATATACTTATCTTTACTGGTGGTTTTATACTTTTACATGTTTTCCTGTTACTCATTAGCATCCTTCCATGTCAGTGTGAAGAACTGCCTTTAACATTTTATACAAGGCTGAGCTAGAGATTAACTCCTTCAGTTTTTGTCTGGAAAACGTTTTCAGTTTTGAAGGGCAGCTTTGCCAAGTAGAATATTCTTAGTAGGCAATTTTTTTTTTCCTTTCAGCACTTTGAATATAATTTGTCTCATTGTGGATCTCTTGGATTCATCCTGTTTGGTACTCTCTGGGCTTTTTCTGGATTGGATGTCTGCTTTTTCCCTCAGATTAGGAAAGTTTTCAGCCATTAATTCTTTGAAAAGTTTTCTGCCCCTTTTCTCTTTTCCTTCTGGGATCTTTATAATGTGTGTATTGATCAATTTGATGGTGTCCCATAGGTCCCTTAAGCTGTCTTCACTCTTTTTATTTTTCTTTATGCAACTCTGATGGGATGAATTCCATCGACTTACCTTTGAGTTTGCTGATCCTTTCTTCTGGTTGATCTAGTCTGCTGTTGGACTCTTCTAAATTTTTCAGTTCACTTATATCCCTCAGTTTTGTGATTTCTATTTGGTAATTTTTAGTATTTTCTATTTCAATTGAAATTCTTTGTTCATGCTTGCTCTCCTGACCTTGGTGAGCATTTTTTTGACTATTATATTGAACTCTCTCTCAGGTAAGTCACTTAATATTTGTTTCATTAAGATCTGTTCTGGATATTTACCTTGTCCTTTTGTTTGGAACGTATCTTTTTGCTTCATTTCCTTTATTAGTGTCTTATGCATTTGATAAAATAGCAACTTCTTCCAGTCTTGAACAAATAGTCTCGGTAGATGATGGACCTTGTCATTCAGCCCGGTCTAAGCGTTGTTATTCTCAATCGTTTGTAATAGCCTGAGCCTCCTTTTTGGCTCTTAGTAGCTTCCAGTAGTTGACAGTGTGTTCCACCTGAGTATCCAAAGGCACAGGATGGGGTGGGGGGAGGCTGCAGTTAGCACCTTGATGCAGACTGATTACTCTGGACCCTCAGGCAGCAGCTGGGAAAGTATGTATTAAGCCCCTTCCAAGTTAAAAATGGACATTTTTGCCTGCTCCCTCTGGGCTGAGCACAGGTGTATAGTCACTAGGGGGTTGGGAGGAGTGCTCCTGCACTCATTAAGAATTTTTTGTTTGCTATAGTCCTGTGGAATTCTTGAATGTAGGCCCCACTGGCTATCAGAGCTAGGCGATCCACAGACCATTCCTTGGGTGTCAGACTTAAGAGACATGGCATAGACACATCCCTACAAGGCCCTCCAGGTAGATACTAGTGATTAGACAGGGCTGGAAGAAGGTGGGAGAGGCGTCCTGCAGCTTCCCCAGTCTGAGGAAGATTGCACTTGCCCTTGCACCTGGCTCTCGGGCAGCAGATTTTGAAGTATGCAGATAAACACCTCTTTCAGAGGAAGACTGAGAGAGATGGGTGCTTTTTGCCTGCCCTGAGGGGATAGCCACATGAGTGCTGTGTGCCCCAAAGAATGCTTATTTTCTACACTCTTCTGGCTCTCATGAATACAAGCTCTGTTGGCTTTCAGAGGTAGGTGTTTGGGGAGCCTTAAAAGTTGGGATACTGGATGTAGGGTCCAAACCCTTCACCCCGCAGTGCTGGGAGTTCCCTTCTGATGTATGGTACTACGCTGTTTATGGGGATTGTATCTTAGCCTTTCTTACCATATTTTGATGTGGGTATTTTCTCATTTGTCCAGTGTATAGGAGCTGCTCGGCTAGTTTCTGGACCTCTTTTAGAGGCAATTGCTTTGTATGTTATCTGTACATTTGGCACGTCCCTGGGAGGAGGGGAACTCTGGAGTCAACTTGGTCACCATCTTGATCGTCTCCTCCTTATCCTTAACATGAATAATTGAGAATTGCTTTATCTACAAGGATAGATTCATCATCTGTCCCCTTTGTTTTTAACCAACTTAAAATGGGGTTCAACTTCAA